GAGAGAGAGAGAGAGAGAGAACAGGTACGAGAGCTGGTTTGGACTTCTCGTTCAATCCAAACATTAATTTATGTATTAATTAATTACAATTAAAAGAAATTTTAATATAATGTATACAATATATTCAGTCATGATAGAAAAATAAAATATTAATTCAATTGATATTCAATTAATTAATTATAAAAATAATTTGTTTTCTTATACATTGATCGACAAAAACAATATTTAATGTATATTTATATGATATATTATGTACTGTATATTTATGTTATTTATGTTAATAAATAAAACAATTCCTTAAATTTAATTAAATGCAATTTTAACAGTTTATATGAAATTTAATAATTTTAAATTCAATTTATGTAATTTTTAAGTAAGCTCTACGTCAGGAATTTACAATGAAATCATCAATAATTGCATTGAAATTTTAATGCATAATCAGTTTTTATCCAAAATTGAATATCATACTATTGAAATAAATTTAATAAATAAATTTAAGTACATATAAACGTAATATGTAAAATTTAAAATGTTTGAAATGTTTGAAATAATACCACATACGATATTTATTTTAACATTAGGAATATTAATTGATATTTATTGTAATACTAATGATTGCATTTCATTTCCATTAGAAAATATTTGAAAATACAATTTGAAACCAATAAATATAACAATTAGTAATATTATTGTAAGATTTCATTAGAAATCAAGTGTTTGTTGAAATATTCATATTAATTAAATTTTAAATTCTAGCGCTTTTGACGAGTTTATGAATAAAAATGTTGTATCAATGACATGCATGGAGTGTATATTTTCCATACTATTCATGTTTAATATTGAGATAAGCCATAGAACCCAAACATTTAGGCATTAAAATACTAAATTCTTATATCGCACTAAAAGTGAACCCATCATTAAAATTATATCTCTTTAAATACTTATTTATTTAAACGACAAATTTATGTGATATTTATTAATATCGAAGTCTGATTGAAAGGAAAAGAGACACAAATTGTGTGAATAATAAATGGATCGTTGGTTCGGAAGAGTGGCTTTGGTTACGGGGTCTTCGGTAGGAATTGGCAGAGCTATCGCTTCCAGTCTTGTTGAACACGGACTCAAAGTGGTTGGATGTGCTCGTAATATAGATCAGGTCTTTACTTTCATTTTAGATATGAAAATATGCGGAATATGTTAACAATAATACTTTACGTTATAAAATACCAATCAATTAATGTTTATTTGTTTTTGACATTTGAAATATTATATCGTTTGTATGAAAAGCTCAATGAATTGGAGTCTGAATTAAAGGCAAAGAAACTAAAAGGAAGTTTCAAAGCAATCAAATGTGATTTGAGACAGGAATCAGATATCAAAGCCATGTTCGAAGAGATCAGATCAAGTTTCGGTCGGATTGACATCTGTATTAATAACGCCGGTATAATTGAATGTTATATAATATAACTTATATTTTCAAGTATATTATACATTATAAGTGCATTTTGTGTACTCATATGTGTATCGATTGAATGGTAAGGTCTGGCCAAAGACGCGCCACTCATTACTGGCGATACAGAATCGTGGAGAGAGATGTTAGACGTAAACGTGACCGCACTGTCCGTCTGCACCCGAGAGTCCATAAAACTAATGCAAGCGAATAACGTAAACGATGGCCATATCATAGACGTGAGCAGTATGTCTGGCCATCGGGTAGTGCCGTCGGCGGCCACTCATTTCTATAGCGCCACAAAGTTTGCTGTCAGAGCCCTCGCCGAAGGTCTACGACAGGAACTCAGAGCCATTAATAGCGGTATACGAGTGACTCTCGTCAGTCCCGGTGTCGTTGAAACCGAGTTTGCCGTCAGATTGACTAATAGTAAAGAAGGCGTCAATCCATACGCAGACAAGCCGTGCATTAAAGCTCAAGACATTTCTCAGATTGTAATAAATATACTACAAATGCCGGCACACGTCGAGATCAACGATGTCCTAATCAGACCCACCTTTCAGGTCCAATAGACAATGTATTAATGATTGAATTCATTGTCATATAAAATAAGTTTCATTTTAATAAAATAGTTTATTTTCTGAACAAAAAATAGTCAATAATTATTTAATATCTATATATAAATGTAAATAAAATCCATAAATGAATCCCGGTGTCGTTGAAACCGAGTTTGCCGTCAGATTGACTAATAGTAAAGAAGGCGTCAATCCATACGCAGACAAGCCGTGCATTAAAGCTCAAGATATCTCTCAAATTGTAATAAATATACTACAAATGCCGGCACACGTCGAGATCAACGATGTCCTAATCAGACCCACCTTTCAGGTCCAATAGACAATGTATTAATGATTGAATTCATTGTCATATTAAATGAGTTTTATTTTAATAAAATAGTTTATTTTGTGAACAAAAAATAGTCAATAATTATTTAATATTCTATATATAAATGTAAATAAAATCCATAAATGAACGCAAATCAACGTCTTTGTTGTTGATGGAGTCGTTTCTTTTGTAACATAAATCGCTTCCTCTCCTCCTCCTCTTTGCGCTCTTCTTCCAAGTCCTCCATTAGTCCGATGCGAGCGCTTCTCGTTTCCTCTTTCATGATATCAGTAAAGTTTGATTCCTCGATGTCGTCGTCGTCTACATTACGATATTTTCTTCTATCGTAACCAAAGATCTCTCGAATAGCGCTCGAATATTCCGGTTCTTGTGCTTCTTCTGGTCCGTCGTCTATAAAGTCGGCCATATCTTCGTCGTCGTCCTCCTCGTCCTCGTAGTCTTCGTCCATGAAATCTGACGGGTCTTCGTATTTCTCACGCGTATAAGTGCTGCCGATTGGCGGCAATTTAGGCAGATTTCGGTACAACAGTGGCGGAGCCCGTGATGGCGGCGAACCGCGCGATGGCGGCTGAGGTCGCGATGGCAGTAGAGCTCTAGAGGGCGGTGCGGATCGCGATGGAGGCGGACCTCGTGATGGAGGCGAAGCTCGTGATGGTGGCGGAGCTCGAGATGGAGCTCGTGATGGCGGTAAAGAACGTGACGGCGGCGGCAGAGATCGTGATGGAGGTAATGATCGCGATGTCTGCGGAGGCCGTAGTGGTGGCGGCGGTGATGGAGGTCTCGCTCTATCGTTGTATCTTCTATTGTCTTCTCTATAAGTATTGGCATTTAATCTCACTTTGGATTCGTTATGGGAAGCGATGGACACTCTTTCGTTGTACTCTTTATCCCTTGAATTCAATCTATTATTCATTTTATTCAAAATCGCCGATTTGTTTGAAGCAGTGGTCGAACCCATCTTCGGACCCATTCTTCTCGAGTCGTACGCATTGTTAGCTCTTTGCTTATCACTTGGTTTGCCAGTCGACTGACCATTACTAACATTTCTACTATTATTCACATTATTATTGTTATAAATATTTGGTTTTTTAAATTCTTTATCACTTGTTGTTTGCGATTCGTTAGCGTATGAAACAGTCTTTGAAGCGAACCTATTATTACTACTATTATTCACATTCTTGTCATAAGTATTTGGCTTTTTATTAAACTCAACATCTCTTCTATTGTCGCGAGGAATCTGTTTGTGATTCTGTTTCTGCATGTGTTGTGGGTCTGGGAGTCGTGCCATCCCTTTGGTGGCCCTCATCTTGTAATACATTTCCTCCTTTTGCCTGTCCTTCTCCTTCTGAGTCATCGGTCGCTTTGAGACATCTTTCTTGTCTTCGATGTGAGACATAATGTCTTCATTGAGTGAAATCTTCTCTGATTTGGCCTTTTCTGAGGCCAAACTCAACAGCTGTTCGTAGTTGAGAGCGGGAGGAGGTTTGGGTCGCGGCGGTCGACTACTCACCTCATTGTCAGTCTTATTATCCTTAGATTTGGACGATTTGTCAAAACCCGTGTTTTGCGGCACATTATGTGCAGTTCGCTGTCGTTTGGGGGCATTCTGTCGGACCAGACTGTCCTCCGCCTCATACATGTCCCGCTTATTGTGGACCAAGTCTTGAGTGCCCTTAAGTTTGAGCTTCTCTTCGACTCTCTTCTGTTCCTCGATCTGAGTGTCGGTTAATATAATGCGTGAGAAGTCGTTGTCTTTGGTGCGAGTCTTCATCATAATCGCTCTCTTCGTCGACTTCGAGTTCTGTGCCCTCAAAGACATCAGTTTCTCCTTCTCTCTCCTCATTTCCATCTGTTTCTGCATTTCTTCCTTTTCTTTGCGGGCTTTGAAGGCATCGATCGCCGACTTCTTGGGCCCCGAAGTCTGGCCGCCATTCGGCCGCCGCTTAACCACAAACTCATTGGTCGAGTCTTTTATCTCCTGATTCTTGTCGGCCAACGAAAGAAGTGATTTGTAATCCATAGTCGGTTCCCTCCGGAGTGTCACAATTGATCCCAACCAGTGATACGACAACACATACACAACAATATGGCTGAAAGTTATAGTGAACTCCACTTATAGTGAACTCAATTCCCAAAACACTATTTCTTCACTCAAATCAATGATTTATTCACTAATTTCTCCGTTTATTATAATTGAAATGATTTTGTATTGAATTTAATGAATAAATTGTAATTAATTTGCGATTAAATAGACGTTTAAATTGAGTGTAAAATACGTTTTCAAGTGTTTTAATGAGAGATTGAATGCAAAATAAGAGCAAATCATATGTTGTTTACAAATAAAATACTTTTAAATCTATTGGACTTTCGATCCGTTTTAGCGCTTATTTTGAATGCATTTTATTTTAACTTAATTTTTATTTTGTTAACAAAACTTTATTTATTTCTTAATTGCTTTTATTATAATTAGTTTTAAATTAAATTACTTTTAATTAAAATATATGATAAAATTTTCAATATAATTAAAATATATTTCATTTATTTCTGTTATTGAAAATAAAGTCCAAATTTGGGTTCAAACGGATTAAAGTCTATTAAACTTAAACTTTTTAGGCTTAAACTTAATAGTGATTTAGAACTTAAATTATTTATTAAATTTCTTAAATAAATCTCATTTAACCGGCTTTTAGGTCATGGAGTAAACTAATCTCAAAAAACTATTGACTGATAGCTTTATCACAACTGTATTTGTAGTGAAGAGAGGGTTGAGATGAAAGTATATCCTTGTTTTTCCTAATAATTAGAGTAAAACTCATTCAATACTTGTGATAAGTTTGAGAGTAAATATAAGAACTATTTGTTGGAAAGTGATTAAAATAGAGGAAATATTGTATTCATATCAATGGCTATAAACCTAAATGTCTTAAGATTTGCTTCTTTAGAGTTCACTGAACTGTCGAAACAGAAACAAAAGTTTGGATTAAATCAAAGGACTTTACAGTAGATAAAGATTAAGGCATTTTGTGTTTTGATTTTTCCTTATTGTAAATATAACTTTATTTTAAAATAAAAATTTTCTAATTATATAACTATTATTGTAACTTTATAATTAAATATCTAATTAATTGTCAATTTTTTTATTCCTAGAAAAAAGTATTTTTCAGCATATTTTATGTCTAGTTTTTTGTGTAATTTATAATATTCATACACATTGTTATACAGATCTGTAGTCAGTAAAAACAAATGTAAGGCTTTAATCAATAAATTGAAATAACAGTTGATTTATAACCACATTTAATTTCAGACTTATGTTTCGGTACTTTAAATTTTTTTAAACATTTTAAATGCAATGATAAATGATTAATGCCCAAGCCATTCCAAAATAGAGAGGGGCTTTTATTATTTGAACGTGGTTACTGTTTGACCTTTATAATTTTTATATATTGCTCACTATAAATGTGAATAGTGTATGAATAATGTGCACTATTTTTTATAAAGTGGCCCTACGTTGGCCCATTGGATTTCGCTGTTAATGCCTTTCTATTAATATAAAATCCTATATCTATTTTTATAGATATCCTATTAAACGGTTATATAAATTAACCATGGTTATTAAATAATTCAATTTTAAAATGCAAATTGTAATGCACTTTATACAATGTAAATAGAAATCAAAGCTAATCATATGAAACAAAATTGTTTTAATTAATAATTAAAAATATCATGGGTTAAGAAGTCTGTTAATGAAAGTCACCGTAAAAAGCAATTATTTTTCAGTACATATCGACCAGCTTTTAGTATCCTTATAATAATAATAATAATAAGTCTATAATAATAAGTCTATCCATGCATTCACTGATATTGCACTTAATTTATTGGAAAATTTGATACAAATCGTAGGTTTTTTTGTCATAACAGACCTTAACAGACCTAACAGACCTTGATACTTTATTATCGAATTAAATGTTTTTAATTGTTTTAAAATAAAAGAGCTTTTAATCATTAATTAAATTTATGCCATTGAGCTTATCATCTGATCAACTGATCAATTTTATAGTACAATAAATGATAAATTATGGTAACATAAAAATTAACTTTTTATTTAGGCAATGGGTAACGAGAATCAAATAAATAGAGAATACTGTATAATGTGACAAATTGTACAAATATACACAATATTGCATACTCTGGCCAATAGTTCATAACTAATTCTCAATATAACGGACTTTACTTAAGAATCTTTGTAATTAACACAGTTGCACATGGACATATTTAATTACATTGTACGTGGAATTCCAAGTGTTGTATAGAATTGTGTTTTAATTCAATATTAATAAATGAGCAATTTCTATATAAATTGCAATTCTTATACAGTATTAAAACAAATGAATTGCATTAATTAGTAACCAAGCATTATTTTCTAGTACTATGGGATAAACAATGCTATAGCAAAAATAATGTTTATTAAACAATATTATGAATATTAATTGCAAATAGTTTAACCATGATAACACGATCAAATATAAGCTAGAAACTAATTTTTAAAAATTCTAAATTCACCAGTTTGCTAATTCATTGTTTAATTACCGTATATCTTTACCGGCATTACTTGTCTTGTCTTTAAAATTAAGCAATAAAATTAAATATTTAAATAATAAAACATTTATTGTCAATCTTTATAAATAATATACGATAATTGTTCACAATTTATAAAGCATTTGAGTTTGAGGTCAATGTTTTGTACACTTTTTTTAGCACTTTTCAATGATATTACAAACAATTTATAAATAATTACTGCATTTTAATTAAATGCAAAAACAATGTTCTCTTTGAATATAATATCAAACAAAATATATCGTAAATGAAATGACTTTGAAATGAATTTAAATGAAAATATAAAATGTGTTGAAAACAACAGATATAAGCCATAAATGCAATCCAATCTCATGTTTCCATCGCTTCATTATTTTCTGTATTATCAGTTGAGTTATCGTTAGGAGTGTTAGGATTGGTGTTGCCGTCGACAGTGTCTACAGCATCGGCAGTATCAACAGTATCGACATTCTTAAGCAGTTCGTCGTCACTAATGTCTTCGGCGTCATCGATGTCAAAGTCGTTGACATTGTTTTGAATACCTGTGGGAAACTCTTTCGACAGCTTCTCGACCACCGCTTCTAAATGATTGTTAACAGTTCTGACCACTTGATTGCTCGGCGAGAAGAAGTGGTGACTCTTTTGGCTCAATAGACGCAATGCTCTCCAACTGAAGTCACTGTCCAAACAGATGGCAGTTCGTTGGGAAGGACTCGCTTTGACGGCGTCCTCGAAGAACTTCTCGACAGTTGGTATGAATAGGCGTTTCTTAGACCGACACGACTCCCAATTGTCGGGACATAAGTTCCAAATGGTGTTCAGCTCTGGATTACCAATCAGAATGCGATGACTGGCTTCGGCCGCTTTGAACTCATCGCCTAATTTGCGTTTCCGAGTATACGTGGCCTTAATGTTCGCCTCATTCTTCTTGAATTCGGTCTCATTTTCGGTGATCTCTTTGAGTTCAAGGCATCCCTCGTTCTTCCAATTACTCCAATACTCTTCGCGTTTTAATATCTTTTCGATACTTTTGCGCACTTCTGGGCCGTTGGGAGGCGTCTCTTCGATCAGTGTATTCACTTTAGCGGACGTTTCGGTCACCCAAAGGGTCTGCTCTTCGGACAGTGTCTGTCCCTCTTGTTTGAAGCGAACCGTTGACGTCAGGTATTGGAAAAGAATGAGAAACTGAACCAAAATATATCGCCTAAAGTTAGAGTCACTTAATTGCAATTCCAATAGCTTTTGATTCGTCAGGTATTTCGCGAAATACATGTTATCGTCAGTCCCGGAGCTCTTATCACCCAAACCATGAAAGTTAGCGCAAGAGTTTGGGTCTAATTTAAAACTACTCAACGCCTGCAGGACATCGTTGGCGTAGGACTGGAGTTGTTTCCATTGAGTCTTTGTGTAGCAAATGGTGGGACTCCGGAAAAAGTCCTGCAATTGCCAGAACTTGCGGTAGAAATTGTAATCGACTTGTATTTTGTCCGCGTCTTTCATCTCGTGGTCGCCATCAGTAGACTCAGTGGCCATCGAATCGGTGAGCACTCCGTCCTCTTGGAGGGAAAAAGTGGTGGCGTTTTCGTGATTAAAGTCTGAATTCAAGTTCAGACCCGAGCGCTCGAAGAGTGGGAAAAATCGGGCCAAAAATACAAGAATACGACCGCAAAACACAGTGTTCTGAGAGCGGGAAAG